CACACACACACACACACACACACACACGCACGCACACGCACAATTACAACTGCTGACGACACGGAAAAGAGCCTGAGAAGAAAATACGTTGAGCTAAGCTATATGGCTCAATGAACTTTCCACGATGGTCCCAGCAAACAGAGAGTAACATTGGGGCGGGTGTTCTTAACCAATTATAATTTGTGGGGCATCGTGGTGAAATCAGGCGCTCGCGTGACGTCAAAATAATGGAATCGAAGATACCACTTTTTAATCTCCAATCTGGCGATTAAAATTTAAAAAATAAATTTTGCTCAACACCTTTTATGTCCATATTTTATGCAAACACATTTCGGTGTAGATTTTACCGAAAAGCATTGAGCAAATGTACATTTTCAGTTTCCAAGGACTTTCAAGCTATGGAAGTCATCAGCTTTGGCAGCCATTAATTTTTCGCAAATTTTGACTCGGAAAACAGGCAACCCCCACCCCCATCAATCCAAATATTTCAAGATAGATGAGTATTTTTTCATTGAATGCGCGACAAGTGAAAACGTTTTAAGATGATGGTAATAACTCTGTGGGCTTCAAAAGTGACAAGCAGCTGATTCCACGGCGTCGTGACACATTTATTCACGGGACGTTTCAGATTAAAGTTTATTAGTTCAGCACAGTCAATTAACTCGGGGTCTAATATTGACATAATTTAGCAGGTGGAACGGAAAGAGAGTAGAAAACCCAAATAGAAGGTCAATTTAACTTTGATAAACGCGACGTTTCTCACCTTCGACATTCGCGTACACGATCAACGTTTGAAAGACGTGAAAGAGAAACAGGACCAACTTGGTATTGTGTTTCGACTGGCCTTTGTATGTTACTGACCTCATCACCACAGAATCCCACGAGTTGTTCTTTTTTCTTTCCTTTTTAAAAAAAACTTTTTTTTCCCTTGCTTGATTTTTCGGCAGTGTAAAACTGGTTCAAATCTATTCAAGCCTATTACAGACGTGCAAAGATTTTTTTGTTGTTGAAACTTGTCTATGCCATAACTAAAATGTTATTAAATATTTCAAAAGAGGAGTTAGGAGTAGTATTTGTTGGAGCCAATGTTTTCGGTAAGTTGCTATTTTGCTAAATGTTGCTTTGGGTAAACAAAACAACCATCCAGGTGGTAAAAACTACCAGATTTCTAAAGAGATTGAAAAGTATGTGTCGAGTTGTTAGCTTAAAATATGATGCTGATAATTTTAACAGCTCCTATTCCCGTGTGAACACAATTATTATTCTATGCGCTTTACATAAACTCAAACACTGTGAAAATTTTCTTAGCTCATACATTATACACACACAGAAACACATCTCTCTCTCTCTCTCTCACTCTCTCTCTCTCTCTCTCTCTCTCTCTCTCTCTCTCTCTCACACACACCCCCCCCCACACACACACACTCTGTCTCTCTGTCTGTCTCTTTGTCTGTCTCTCTCTCGCTCGCACACAGAGAGAAAGAGAGGGGTAGAACGAGACAGACAGACAGACAGACAGACAAAGATAGAGACAGAGAGAAAGAGAGAGACAGACAGACAGACAGGCAGACAGAGAGAGAGAGAAAGAGAGAGAGAGAGAGAGAGAGAGAGAGAGAGAGAGAGAGAGAGAGAGAGAGAGAGAGAGAGAGAGAGAGAGAGAGGCTGAATGGGAAGTGGACCTAGTTTGTTTGTTTTCAAATCCGACTTCGACAGCGCCTATCTAAGAAGTTACACCATAATTATTTCACAAATTGCTGATGTCAGAATTGTATCTTCATATCAAGTTAACAACAAGAATGTTTCTCTTCGATGAACTAAAGACATCTCGAAGATGCGGAAAATTATTATAACACAAAAGTGATTATCTACTAATTAAATCCAAATTTCGGACAGGCTAAAAAGTCGAATTTCGAGTAACATCCCCCCCCCCCCCCCCCCAAAAAAAAGAACAAAACAAAAGAAAAACACCCCGGAAAATCCCCCGGTAGGACTATTAAAAAATTAAAACTCTAAGTATAGATAAATAATTCATTACTTGAGTCGTGGTGGTAGATCTTGAGTTAAAACTCCAAGTAAGGAATAAAAGAATGGTATTTCGTCCAAATTCTCTCCGATGATTATACACCCGCATAAAGTAGCCCAAGTAATGTCTGCCTTGCTGCTCTTTAACTTCCTTGTTACTTTTTACACATTGTCAGTTGGGGATATTATTGTTCAAGGCCTTCTTCCCCCACAGGCTTTTATCCGTGGCCTGTCAAGCGCGGAGAAGCAAGACAAAAAAAAAGAAAAAGAAAAAGCTAGGAGTTTGTGTTTCGAGCAGAAGGGGCCCCAGACTAATACTTGTTTGCGTGGAGATTCCAGCGTGGGAACAGGCGTTAATCGTAAAAGGGAACTTCCGCTAAGCCGCCAATCCACCTCTTTCCTGCTCCAAAATATTTTCTTTGTTCAGAAACTAGTCTCTTCCCCGCTCCCCCAACCCAATCTCATCCTCTTCAAATCCATGTTTTGTTGGTTTCTGCCTGAAATTTCTATTTCAGTGCAACAGGTCCTTCGCATCTCTCTCTGTCTCTCTCTCTCTCTCTCTCTCTCTCTCTCTCTCTCTCTCTCTCTCTCTCTCTCTCTCTCTCTCTCTCTCTCTCTCTGTGGGTGTGTGTGTGTGTCTATCCCTGTGTCTCTTTCTCACTCTGTCTCTTGTTTTTCTCTCTCTGTATCTTGTTTCTCTTCTTTTCTTTTCTTTCCCTTCTTCGTCTCATTCGTTGTGTCAAATAAAAATAAATGTTCTCATGTTTTGTTTTTGTGCTTGTGTGTGTGTGTGTGTGTGTGTGTGTGTGTGTGTGTGTGTGTGTGTGTGTGTGTGTGTGTGTAATAATAATAATAATGAAGATCATTTCTATTGCGCCCACTCCCGTGTAAACACAACTCTAGGCGCTTTACATAAATGCATGTAAGAAAAATATTCATGCACGCGACACACACACACACTCACACACTCATATACACACAAACACACACACACACACACATATACACATACACACACAAACACACGCATACACACTCACGAACACATAACACGCACACATGTGCACACACATGTATGCCAAACACACACACACACACACACACACACACACACACACACACACACACACACACACACACACACATACACACACACACACACACACCTACTTGCTTATCACACGCACACGATTACACATCGTCACGAAATGAGAATTAAATAATATATACACTGCAATTCACAAAATACATAAATGGATACATAGACATTTACATAACATTGTATTGAACATGAATCTACTGACTTAAAAAGGATGTCATTAAATGTGTCTTTAAAGATCTTTTAAATTTAGACTCAGATGTTGTATGTCTCAAGGGTGGGGGGAGAGAATTCCAAACTGACGGAGCAAGGTGGGCGAACGATCTTTCGGCTAATTTTTTACCGCCTTTTCTAGGAATTCGTAAAATATACTGGTCGCCTGATCTTAGTGATCTAGATGGAATATAAATCTGGGTGAGATCCCTAAGATATGAGGGAGCTTTGTTATTGACACATTTATGACATAATATTGCAATTTTATATGACATTCTAGCTGACACAGGAAGCCAATGCAACGTTCTTAACATGGGAGTAATGTGGTCCCTCTTCTTTTTCTTTAGTACAAGCCTAGCAGCATGATTTTGAAAACGTTGTAACTTGTGAAGAGAGGTATTTGGTAAGTTAGCTAGTAAAGCATTGCAATAATCGATGCGTGAAAACAAGAAAGATGACACGAGCGTTTTCAACGAGTGTTCGTTCAAAAACATAGACATTTGACCTATTCTACGCAATTCACAAAATAAAATGGTACATAAATAATTGATATGATGTTCCATTGACAATTTTAAATCAAAATACACTCCCATATTTTTTGCTTTGTTAGTAAAATACAGTTTTTCATTTTCAGTACAAATATTGTCAATGTCTACGGGGATATGGCTTTTCTTTAGGTTACATTACAGAATTTCAGTTTTATTTTCATTAAGCTGGAGCTTATTATCAACCATCCACTTTTTGATGTCATCAGTACACAGACCCATCGTAGTAATTGAGTGTGTGAGTGTGTGTGAGTGTGTCTGTGTGTTTGTGTGTCAGTGTGTGAGTTTGTGTGTGTGTGTGTGTGTGTGTGTGTGTGTGTGTGTGTGTGTGTGTGTGTGTGTGTGTGTGTGTGCGTGTGTGTTTAGGTGTGCTTGCATTGGTCCATGCATGCTATAAAAACATTGAAATATATATTTAAGAGAATGAAAACGAAGCTCAGTTGCCTGGAAAGTAACAATATATCAATTTATTGTACGGTATAAAAGTTTAACCTGTTTCAAGAAAATGGAATATCATAATGTGTTGATCAACTATTAGACTAACAGATTAATTAAGCTCTGCGTTAAGCATAAGCATAAATATTCCATAAAGAAGGGTAAAATCGGATCAGCAAACTCAGAAATGTGATAGATTATTACTGATTTAAAAATAGTATTGTTTTACCCAGTGCCGCACGCACGAAGCGTCGACTCGCGAAAGAGCAGAGTCGTTTACGAGAGAATAGCTTGACATTCTTGTGACCCAAAGTCAAAGCACTTTATGATAAAGACCGTCAGCTAAAAATATCCATAATACCCGCTCCGTCTCCACGCTCCGAAGCTTGCCTCCTCCTGTCTACCCATGTCCCCCTTCCGCCTCTTTTTCAAATTATGCCCTTTTCCCCACCCGCTGTCTGGGACACACCCCTTACCTCCTACCCACAAAGAGCTCAGATGTGCACGCTCCTGTGTGTGTGTGAGCGCGTGCGCGCGCGCGTGTGTGTATGTGTGTGTGTGTGTGTGTGTGTCCGCGCGCCTAAGAGAACGTTTACGTGTGTGCTGTGCGCGCGGCAGTCTGTTGTAGTCACCTGTGCTGGCGAGCGGGAGGCGCGACGGAGAGAGCGATAGCGAGAGCGAGCAAGTGAGAGCGCGTGGTCGTTGCCTGTCACCAGAAGGTAGGCACGCACGCGCTTCGTTTCTACGTTTCATTGTCCTTCAGGGCAGGCGACATGTTCACTCATTCCTGGTGAGCACTGTCTTCGCTCGCAGCTGAAAACAAACCCGACTGTTGCCGGTGGATTTGGGTGTGGTCGAGAGGCTGTGGATACAATAAAGGAATAGCGTTTAGCACTCTGACGTAACAATTAGAAACCAATCGTGACTTATTTTTGTGTGCACAAGTAAGAGGGCAAGAGACAGAGAGTACTGACGGCTTTTAGCATTATTGTGCCTTGATCTGGAGAGGTGAGTACCTCAGTTTGATTTTAGTTTGCTGATCAGTTGTTATTATGTGTTAGTAACGGAGTGGTTTTATGTAAACAAGGCAAGATGATATCCAAGGAATGAGAGAAAGTGTATTATGCTTGTGTGTGTGTGTGTGTGTGTGTGTGTGTGTGTGTGTGTGTGTGTGTGTGTGTTTGTGTGTGTCTATGTGTGTAGATAGAATGCGTTTGTACGTGGCTGATGTATTTTGTCTTGGTCGTACATTTTCATGTTAATGTTCTTTAATTAGATTCGATGAACTATGCTCTTTAATCAACGGTGGGATAGATTTGAGGAGTTAGTGTTATGGAAAAACAGATTTGTTAATAGATAGCCACTTTAAAACAATACTCAAATAAAACAAACACACTCACACACACCCACACATACACACCCACCCCCCCACACACACTCTCTCTCTCTCTCTCTCTCTCACACACACACACACACACACTCACACACACACACAACAACAACATCCTGCTTACAAATGTTAATACACTTTGGATGCTAGAGAAGATACAAAATCGAGAAAGCAGGAAGGAGGAGGAGAATGATAAAGAGGAAAAAAACCCAATAGTTTGGGAAAAAATCATAGCTTTGGTCACACATCACCTCCTTCAACTTAATAAACCTAAGCTTTAATTGTAAAATAGGTTAATACAGCTCTGATCACAAGGTACGTTTAACGGCAAAAATCGATCCCTTCGAATGCCTGCGCTATCATAAATTATGATGGTTGGTTTGCGACTCTAAGTTCGCATAATGGTATGTAAATGTAAGGCAGTGTGTCATTGTGTTGATTAATTAAGCAATTCTGAAGCAATAAAATATTGAACAATAAATGCTCCTTAAAAGATTAAAACTCAATATTGACTTTTGTGTGTGTGTGTGTGGTGTGTGTCTGTGTGTGTGTGTG